CAATCTCTGTACGTGAGGTTACGCGTAGTACCTGCGGATTAGTGCTGCATGGGGTGTGAACTAGGGAATGGAAGAACCGTCGAGTCTAGCTATAAAAGGATTTTAGCAGGTTTATTATAGAGAGGAAAGTAGGTGACGAGAAATGGGTGACTGATAACGTGGTGTGAGGGTGTATCGAGGTAAAAATAATCCTGCACAATTTTATATATACCTAACCCCTTTTTATCCCGCTTCGATACGGTTTTTCGTTGCCTCTCTGACAAAGTCTACGTTCAGAGGAAATTACGACGGGAGAGAATCCCTTCCGTAGCTTTCTTATTTGACAAAAATGACATTCTCAATTCGTTACGATAGCGATAAATTTTGTAATTTTCTAACGCTGGCTGTGGAGTCATGGTACGGTAGGAGTTTGTGATTCTTGGAAGAGGAAAAGCTGCACGGAGGAAATTGAATCGAGCCCGAAATACTCGTGCCAGGGAGCACCGACGAGTGCTTAACGTTCGAGTAAGGGCTAGTAGGATTTGGGGTTGGAGAACAGGGTAGCTCCGGCGATGATCGCTAAAGAGACCCTTTGACAACGAGAGCCGCGGCTCTGTGTATATTTGCCTATGCCGTGCACTCGTTCAGACGAATAAACACACGCACGTGGACCACCACCCCTTATTACGGCCCGTTGTGTGCGTGCCTGCACACCCCTAACGCCACTTTCGCCAGCAATTCTCCGGCAACGTGAAATACCGCTGCGAACTCCTCACTTTTCCAACATCTTCACGACCGCCAGGAATTTCATATGTAACCCACGTCATCCTGACGAACTCTGAATTTCCGGAAATTCGTTCTCATTCCACAGAAATTATTCGACATGTACCGCGAAATTTAACTCGTTCCTCCGCTGATTTTCCGCCACTTCCAGTCACGCAACTCTGTCTCTCAAGACACGGGTCAAAAGTGACCCGGCGAGGATTCACCATCGTCGCTGGTCCTTCGAATCGATCGAACATTATTAATATTTGACACGTTTCACCTGTCACAATCAACGAAAGAAATGGAAAGAAGGAGAGAATCATCCCCTAAACGATTCAGGCGACGAGCGCGAAGATCGATGTTGACAGTTCGACGTGAAACGCGCGGCCGCGTGTCGACAGGAACGTCGCATTTCGATCGAACTCCCTGAAATTGGATTAGCGAGACGGGCGTATAAATATTCCATTGGAACTGGCCGAACCAGCGACGAATATGGAAGGGCCAAGTTTCGAATACTCCGAGACCGCCCCCTTCCGCCTGCTCCTCGGTCTTTCGCGATAAAAGAACGGAGGAAAAATCGTTCGAAAGATGCAAGAGGGGATGAAACTGTCGACGAGGAGGGACTGTAGGGTTGGAACTCGTTAACCGACGATTTTTTTCAGTGGAAAGATAAGCAGCACCCTTGTGCGGATTCAGGGGTGAGTTTATCGGGCGTGGACCTCGAACGAGTTCAAGTTATCGACGTGGGAAATCGTTGCATGCTCCGTCGTCTCACGTGTTCGAGTATTAGAACTGAAACCGCTGTGCTTCCGCTTGGAATTTCCCTCGACAGGTTCGTTGTCCGAGATAAACATGTATTTATAAACTGTATCCTGTGAAAATTGCCCGAATTTCGTCGCAGGTTTTCTCCGGGAGAAAAATTCGGGTTGATTAGAATTTTACGTTTTGTTTGGGGAAGCAAGAGTTAATCATTATTACAAACAAATTCGCGATGGTACAACAATAAAAATGTAGCAGTACAGCAATAAAGGAATAAAATGAGGCGTATAAAATGGATACTTTCAAGACACGTAGTGTTATAATTGGACCGTTTATTTTGAAAGTGGTGTAAGTCTATTTTCTCTTGTTTCAAGAAAATTAAAGGTTAACTAAAAAATTAAGGCAAATTATATGAAGTCTGGCAATGTTTCTACTGTTTTATCAATATGTAATTTGGTTATATAAAGTTCTTTTAGGCGTATTTTACTAAAATGATGTATACTTACGGGCTGCAAATGGACTTACACCACTTTCAAAATTAGACAATTGTAAAAATCGTTTAATTTCAATTTTGAAAAATCAAATATCACTTAAAATATACTTCATATTAATCCAATTTTGTTTACAAATAATGACACGATATAAAATAGAAGTAGTATTTTGAATTTTAGACGGTAATTACATTGTTAAAATTACAAGATATTGATATTATTTACTTATGCTCTGCATGTGGCAGTGTTTCGAAATATGCATGATGCACCGGAGGTATATAAGGTAATAACTGCTTGATGTCTTTATATTTTTCATAAGTAATAGGCCTGGCATCTTGGTACAATGGCGCCAGGGCGATTTTTTCAAATTTTAGCGGTCTTCCAGGACGTGTAGGTAATAAATTTATAGTTTTAAATTCTTTGTCCTTCATCGATGTTTTATATAAAATAGTGTACGGTGCACCTTTGAGAAACCTCATCCAACATATTTGCAACCAATTTACCTGTTCTCCATTAGTGTTTTTTCTTATCTGTTTTTTAATTGCATTTTGAAGATTTTTTTTTTTTGGCTACTGATCGGCAACTATCTGCTAAGCCACCTACCTCTGTTAATTGGACTTACACCACTTTCATAATCGATGATTATGCAATTTCATTTACCGACCAATTTTAAATTGTACAAAACATGGAAATTTTTTAAGAAATTAAACACGGACTAGTTATACATAAAAAATTTACATTAAATTAAGCATGAATTACGTGATATCTCATTTTTTTCAAAAATGGACTTACACCACTTTCAAAATAAATGGTCCAATTAATTAAATAAGTTAATTAAATTGCACGTGTAGTGTTTCGAATTCATCTATCTACGTTATCGAAATTAAAAAAGGAAGCCCTACCGAAAGTTTGCGAATTTGTATGAACTTTTGCACAAATACTTGACAAACATCCCGAACCGAATTTTCAGCAGAATTTCAGCTACAGAGTCTCCCTAGAAGGCAGACGAGCAAGAAAGGCGAGCAATACGTTTTACGTAATCGGTGAAAATTACCTCGTCGATTGCACGTGAACACGATGAAACCGTGTTCTGAAGGTGGCCGAGACTTGAACGTCAGCGGTGACGGTGGAGAAGCCACTTGCCGCGGCGAGTAAACATCGTTTTCGTGGTTGTAACGATGTCGGTTTCCCACGAAAACGAGCGCAACGCCACGTGACAGCTCGTAAACCGGATAATCGATAACGACCTTGGTGTTTTGCGAAGGAAAGGGACACAGGCCCAAGTAATCACACTCACATTGCTATACGCGATGCCTAAAAAATCATTTGCTGCGTGACTGTGAACCCAAGGTCACGGTGCAAGTTACGCCATATTGGAGAACGGACGTTCGTGTTACTCTCAAGAGTGAAAATGAAAACGATAAATTCGTTGTAGTAGCCTAGATTCAAGGTAGCTTTTAATTGTGCAGGCGTGTGTCTGTACTTGACCCAATTTGACCCAATTCTCTTTCGTTTCTTTTATTAGATTCAACCTAGAAATCGGGAACAATTAAAAGTTTTCTACCTGTTGTTACGATCTTGCGATACCGTAGAGGTTCGACGATAACATTGTACTCTTCATACACAAAAGAATCGTTACTTCTTGTGCTTCGAACGTCTTGCGATCGACTTTCAGCAACAATACCTCGTAAACGAAGTTACCGCCTATTCAACGTGTGTCTCGGCCAACACGCGATAACGGTACGTCCGATTGACACGAGAACCAACTTTGAACCGTGCTGCGAAGAACACGCGTTTTCTGTACCACCGGCATTCTTATTAAGCGAAATGTTGAAAAATTTCACCTGACAACCGTTACGACTATTCACGAGAACCTCGAGCTCTTGGACGGTATTGCGCAAAATTTGATACCCTCGAGGAACGAGAGTTTGGCACTTTGGTCCAATTGTCGAAAGAGAGAAACCCCTGGTATCACCGTGCAAAGGACCACCGACGTAAATTTAGCATAAGCCGCAATCGGCGCGCATTAGCATAAACGCGAGATTAGTGAAATCGAGACGAGTTCGTAGGAGAAACCGCGAGGCCGGCCGCTTGATCGTTCGTTTCGCGTTACAACGAACGGTTCATCGCACCATATGGATGCGCCTAAATGGAATCTGGTGTTTCGTTCCGCGAGGAGCTTAATTCCCTTCGTGACATATTGTGACTAACGCGCGGCCTCTCGTTACTCGTACACAGTTTTCCCTTGGGGCACAGATGCACCCTGAAGAGGCAGAGATACGAACCAGAGAGAAATAGTGTTCGATAGGAAGTCGAGGGTGCTTCTTGCCCCTTTAGACGCGTGTAATCACTAATATGCATCGCGAGTCGAAGAAGAAACGCCGATTCAAGCACTGAGCTGCCAGGCAAATATCTTCCGGGCCAGCGGAAGCTTGTTTTCAATCATTCAAGCTTATCGAAAGTCCCTCGTTTCTCCCGAAGGTTTTCACACTCTCCCGTCTCCGGTTAACAGCAAGGGGTAATTTGATCGTTAACGGTAAATCGCTCGGTGTCTGCCTTAATTAACTCGTTACCGCGATACTCCTCCTCACGGGTCGCTAATCAGATAAGAAGGGAGGATAAATATTAATTACCGCGTTATCGTTAATTGGCTGGCCTACTATAAGCTGCGACTTCGATGCCCTGGATGAGCATTCCCTTTTCCAAATAGAATTCAACCCTTCTCTTGCTGTGTCGCAGGATAGCGATAAATACGATAGCGATTTTGTGGAAGAAAATGAACGGTGGATTCGATATTGGGATAATTTTGGCTAATCAACGTGTAAGTCTAGGGGAGAAGGGTTTCTAAGGTTGGGAAAATACGGAAAATCCAAGCTCTAAATTTGGCGATTTTTTATTCAGGAAGGAGGTTGATCAGACTTTTTGTGTATTACGTTGATTAACAATCTCCGGCTGGATCGAAACTCGATTAACGCCGATATGAAAATATTCTGGTAAAAGACTCACCTGCCAGCCTTGAACCAGCAGGCTTCTGTCGACGGTTCTCAGCCACATGACAGCATCACCAGGCTGGAAGTCTCTTAAACGGGTGCATTTCCTGTGAAGGAAGACGCCGAGGCACTTGAGCAATTCCGAGGTCGAGGCTTGGATCACGATTTTCCTTGGCTTCGAGAGTAAAGGCTTTTGCACAAGCTTCTCGCACGTAGGGTTATGCGTGGTCTGATTGTTGTTCGATGCCGGTGGTTTCGTCTGTTTTCCAATGAAATATTCAAAAGAATCTTTTATACAAGAGACCTGTGGTAGGGATTGCTATCACGAACAACGATAAATAATTGAACGAAACCAGGGGAGTTTCACGGTTTCTATTTGAAATTTTCAACCGAGTACGATGAAAATTTCACGAGGTTGCTCTCTCCCTCTCTCTCTCCCTCCATCCGTGTACTTTCGTTTAGAGAATCTCTCGGAGGGAGAAAAATACGCGTGTGTAAAAGTTACGAAGGGAAACAACCGAGCGATCGATACGCATTCGATCGTGTCTGGGGTCAAAGCACCTTCGACGTTCTTTGCCCGAGTCTTCCTAGCCAGTTCGAGGCTATTTCGCGGACATTTGCACGAAAACGGGCCAACGTTGCCGCAATCGCCACGTAGACCATTGCGTCGCGGACTATAGATCCGAAAAAAATTGCGTATGAAACAACCTACGAATTTAATATCGATAACCGGACAATCCCAACTCGATAGGGAATGAAAAAAAATAATAACCGTAGAACTGGAGAGTATTGGAACACTTTAGAAAAACGATTCCCTCGGGAGAATTTCATCGATAAAAGAATTTGATAATGAAAAGAACACTCGCCTGAGGTGTCTGTATGTTCTTGTTCTTATCAACGATGGGTATGTTATCGAGCGGTTGCTTCAATCCGACTGTCTTGTTCTGGTTGTCGCGCACCTTCTTCTTTTTTT